CTTGGGGGTGGCACTGTCCCTTCCCCTGTCCCCTCCCCCTGGCTCAGCACACTTCTGCTCTCCCAGGTATGGCGGCGGCTCCTTCTCCTTCTCCCGCCTGATTTTATCTGTGACCCAGCGCTTCTCCACAGAGTTTGAGCTGCAACAGGTGAGGCTGGACCCCGGCAGGAGCCGGGGGACCAGGGACCCCAGCCTTGGCAGAGCTGCCCTGTGCCAGCAGCCCTTGAGAGGGGATTTCCTGCCCCTTGTGAGCCCAGGGGTCCAAGAGGCTTCTGTCCCTGTCACAGGCTGCTGGGTGCCTGCTGGGGTGGTGGCAGGGATGCCCAAGGGCTGTCAGAGTGCTCCTGGGGGCTGTTGGGGTGCTCCTGGAGGCTGCTGAGATGGTGCTGGGGGCTCTCAGGGTGCTACTGGGGCTGTCAGGATGATGTTGGGGGCTGCTGAGGGCTCACAGAGGCCATTGGGGTGCTCCTGGGGGCTGTAGGGGTCCTGCCAGGGAGCAGCTGAGAGGTGCTGGGGTGGTGCTGGAGCGCTCCCAGGGGTTGTCAGGGGCTGGAGGGGTGTTCTGGGGGGTGTGCAGTGCTGCCGGGAGCTGCTGGGATCTGCCCTGCCTGCTCCAGCCCCGTCTCTGCCTGGCAGCTGGAGCAGTTCAAGGAGGGCAACCAGGACATCGGGTTCGGGTCGGGGACGCGGGCGCTGGAGCAGGCGCTGGAGCAGACCCGCGCTAACATCAAGTGGGTGGAGGAGAACAAGGCCGCGGTGCAGAGCTGGTTTGAGAGCGAGACCCGGACCACATGAGAGGCGCCTGCGATTCCCTGGCCGCCAGGACGGACCCCCGGCCACTGCAGCCCCCGCACTGCCAGGAATGGGCTGACGCCTGTATGATGGGCACGGGGAACTCGGGGTCTTGCCAGGGGGAGGCCAGGCTGGTGCGCTCTGGGCAGTAAATAAAATCTTGCCCAGTTTCCAGGGCACCCTGCGGGCTGGGGCCGTGCTGTGGGGACACACCGGGTAGGAAGTGCCAGGGGCCCTGCAGGCCCGGGGCTGTGAGCCCCCGGGCTGTTAGGAGCCTGGTGCTAAGTGGCTCTGGGGCTTCACTGACGCCAGCCCCAGCCCCTCTGTCTGACAGCTGCGTGTGAGCTCCCCTGCTGGGCCCTGCTCTGGGGGACTGGCACAGGACCCTCTGCCCGCGCTGCTCCGGGCAGGTGCTGCAGGCTCGGGGCAGGGCCAGGCCGTGGCAGGTAGGAGGGACAGTCCCTCACGGCCACCCTGCAGGGACAGAGCTGCCTTTGGGCTCGGGGAAGGGACGAGACCCCCAGGCGGGTGGGAGCTGGGGGTCAGCGGGGCTGGGGATGGCCTAGGCGGTGAGTCCCTGTGCCACCTCAGCCCTGGGACACAGCCGGGCTGGGTTGGGCTGGCAGTGGGCAGCACCTGGCTGTGTGTGTGGGGTGCAGGCTGAAGGGCGCTCCCAGCCCGGCCCGTGCTGGGGTGCAGCCAGCAGGTCCCGCAGTGAGGAGCAGGGGAGCAGGGCGGCTTTAGGGAGGATCCTGGCGTCTGTCCCATCCCGTGCAGCTCCGCAGCGTGGCCGTGCCGCCGCCCCACTGCCATGCCGCCGTGCCCGTGCGGGCTCTGTGTCCGGGGCTGCAGGCAGCTCCAGCCCCACAGTGCTGGGCTGCAGCAGGAGCTGGGGAGGTGAGCCCGGCCGGGGCCCGGGGTGCTGAGCTGTGTGAGGCGAGTGGCTGTGGGACAGCCCACCTTGCAGCCACCGGACCATCCTCCACCCCAGCCTGCCGGAGCAGGGGCTGGGCCGGGGAGGGTCTTTGGGTACCTGGTGATGTGAGGGCAGCTGGGACCCAGGTGTGGGGATCCTGTGGTGCCCCGTGTCCGTCAGTCCTGCCCTGGGAGGCTCCAGGCAGCAGCAGGACGGTGCCCCGTTAGCTGTGGCACATCTGTGGGGAGGCTCCAGGGCAGGGCAGCCGGGAGTGCTCTGGAGCTCTGGCAGGGTCCCTGCAGCAGGGGCGTAGGGGGTGACCCTCCATCCAGCTCTGGAGCCCCAGGCACCTCTGTGGTGCAGAGGGGAGACCCCAGGCAGCCGTCCCCATGCCGGGAGCCCCGCGCAGCTCCGGGGGGATCCCCGCCATGGCAGGTGACCCCCAGCACACCCGTGTCCGTGTCCTGGCACACCCAGGCCCCCGGGACAGAGGGCACGGAGGGGACAGTGCCTCCCAGCAGGGCAGAGAGGTGGCTGGTGTAGTGGGTGGTGAGGCACAGGGTCTCGATCCTGGTGAGGCCAGGTGGTGCCTCAGGCTCTCCGTGGGGCCCCCGGACCCCGTTCCTGCCCCGAGGGGACTCTGCCAAAGGAGCTGGGGGTGCGGGCTGTGTCTGGCCCTGGCTGGGCACGGTTCTGCGGGCCGTGTCTGGGGGTAACCCGGCGTTATTTGGGCCGGGGGTGCGGGGTGATGCCTCTGCGCCCACCTGGAGGTACCGAGCTCCCCCAGCCTCGCCCCGCTCCGGGCGGGCGGCAGGAGCCTGGGAATGCCGGGCCCATTTGCAGAGGTGTCAGATCTGACTCCTTCGGTCCTTAGTTGGCCCTGCCGGCGCTGGGAAGTGTGCGGGGACCCATTCGCACGGCCGTGAGAGATGCTAACGTGCCGCCAGCCCCGCAGCCCCGCGGCGGATCGCCCCGCACCGCAGCGCCCCGCACGGCAGCGCAGCCGGGACTTGACCTTCCGATGCCGGGGGCCCGAGGCGCGGAGTCCCCTGCCCTGTGCCCGGCCCCCGGTGCTTGGCAGCGCCCACCCCGCACCGGGCACAGCCCGGGCACTGTCCCTGCGAGCGGTGCCCGTCCCAGAGGGACAGAGGGACAAGCACGAGCCCCGGACACCACGCAGCCTCTGCTCCGGGACGGCGGGTCCCCAGCGGGCACGGAGGGGTCCTGGGGGGCTCCCAGGGGCAGGAGGGCTGGGGGCTCAGGGGGCACAGCCTGAGCTCTGTCGCGGTGCCCTGCCCGTGCTGCCTCATGGCCCTGCACCCTGCTCCACTGAGAGGGGCTGAAGGGACGGGGGAGCCCACCCTGCTCCCGGGGTCAGGGGCTGCAGGGTGTCCTGCTGTCACCAGAAGCTGGGAGTCAAACCCTCTAACACTGTAAGCTCAGTATTAGAAAGTAGCATCGCTTTATTTCAGTGCTGGGTGTGCAGGGGATGTCTCCTATTACCAATACCACAGCTGGCTAACAGACTAGTTTAAAGCTTTGTTAGTTATTAATTACATTTCCCAAAACTCATCATGTATGCTAAACAGTCTCACAAATTCCTTTGCATATTTATATCACTTTTGGGAGCTTATTCACATAAGAGTAGGGGTGTTTGAGGTTCTCTGGTGCTTGTTTGGGGAACACCCCATTCCTCAAATTATCTGATTTTGGTAATAGGCCAAAACAAAAAAAAAAAAATTTCTTTGAATACATCCCAGCTCTGTGGTCTGGCTGAGATATATCTTCTTCCAGTGTTGGTCAGGCCCACGCTCTTTAAGGCTGAGATAACCACTTGTATACATTAATACAGGACTAAGCACTTCTGGCTGAAGCTGAAGGAATTCACAAGGCTTAGACGCTCTTTGTCAGAACTAAAGATTTTCCCAACGCTGCGGGGGCTCTGACCCCAGGGCCGGCGCTGCCCCGGCCCAGCCGCGCTCCAGCACTTGTGCAAACAGGGAGGTGGGAAGCGGCTGCGGCGGGTGCAGAACTCATTACCCGGGAGCTCATCAGCTAATGCGGCCCAGGAGGGGGCCGGCCGGGAGGGGCCGGGCCGTGGGGCGCCCCTCGGACACCCCTGCGCCCCCAGACTGGGCTGGATGCTGGGCTGGGGCTGGTGGCCTCGCGTGGGCTGGCTCCGTGCTGGGCACTGCTCGCTGCACACACGGTTTGGGGGTCCTGTGCCCCCAGCTTTGTGGGGGTCCTGTGCCCCTCATGTTCCCAGGGCTCTGCACAGCCCGGCTGGGGGGTCCTGCACCCCGCAGTGCCAGCCAGTGCACACCCAGTTCGGGGGTCCTGTGCCCCGCAGTGCCAGCCAATGCACACCCAGTTCGGGGGTCCTGTGCCCCTCATGTTCCAGGGCTTTGCACACACCGGCTGGGGGGTGCTGCACCCGCAGTGCCGGCCAGTGCACACCTAGATCGGGGGTCCTGCACCCCACAGTGCCAGCCAATGCACACCCAGTTCGGGGGTTCTGTGGCCCTCATGTTCCAGGGCTTTGCACACCCAGTTCGGGGGTCCTGCACCCCGCGTGCACCCCCAGACCAGGCTGTGCCCCAGCTCTGGGGCCCGTGCCGTGCCATGCCCGTGTCCCCTTGCTCCCTGATGGATTTTCCGTGCCTCGGCGGGGCCGTTTCCCGGGAAACCTTCACACCCGCCGGCCCGACACCTGCGGGGCCTGGGAACGCGCCGGGGGGGCTCCTCCCAGCCCCGGCCCTCCGCACCCCGCCCGAGGGGCTCCCCGGCCACTGCCGGCACCGGCCCGAGGGTCCGCCAGGGGCCGGTGGGACACCCGCACCCCCAAACCGGCTGGGGGTGTCCCACGGAGCCACAGGGGCAGCAGAGGGAGACGCGGGGACACGCCACCGCTGACCCACTGCAAACCGCACTGAAGCCCCATGAGAGCTCCACAGCGGCCCAGGGCACCCCCCGCACCCCCGTGCTGAGACCCCGCTGCAGCTCCCGCAGCACCCGCCGGGACCCCGCTGCAGCTCCCCCGGCAGAGCCATCGAGGCCCCGCTGCAGCTCCCGGGTGGGTCCCGGCCCCGGCCCCCGCCCCGCGCGGGCCCGAGGGGCAGCACCGAGCCGCTTCACACCTCGGGGGTGAAATCCGTCACCCCGCGTTCGCAGCCGCGGCCGGGCCCCCCCAGCCCCCCGGCCTTTGAAGTGCTGCCGCCTCCTCACACCTCCGGGCCGGCATAAAGGCGGGCGCCCGGAGCCGCCGGCACTCCGGCCCGGCCCCGGCGCTGCCATGGCCCACGGCACGCTGCCCGCCGCCCCGCCGCAGCACTGGGCCGCGGAGCCGCAGGGCTACAGCAGCAGCTCTCCCGCGGCATCGCCCGACTCGTGCGGGCTCGCGTCCCCCGCCGCGGCCCGGGGGCCCCGCCGCGGGCACGGCAGCCGCCCCCGGGGCAGGAGGGCGCCGCGGGGCGGCGCGGCGGCGGGGCTCCCGCGGCAGAGCGCCAGCGAGCGGGAGAAGCTGCGGATGCGGCGGCTGGCGCGGGCCCTGCTGCGGCTGCGGCACTACCTGCCGCCCGCGCTGGCCCCCGCCGGGCAGACCCTCACCAAGATCGAGACCCTGCGCCTCGCCGCGCGCTACATCGCCCACCTGTCCGCCCTGCTGGGGCTCGGCCGGGGCGCGCCGGCCCCCCGACGCTGTCCGCTGTGTCCCCGGGGCCTGGGCTGCTGCCGGGACGCGGAGCCCCGCGGCGCTTCGCCGCCCGGCGCCGCGGGCCGGGGCTCTCCTGCCGTGGCGGGGATGCCCCCGGAGCTGCACGGGGCCCCCGGCGTGGGGACGGGTCCCTGGGGATCGCCGCTCTGCAGCCCTGCTGCGGGCACGGCCCCGCAGGTGCTCGGGGCTCCGGAGCTGGGCCTAGAGACCTGGGGGTCACCGCCCTACACCCCTGCTGCAGGGACCCTCCCAGAGGCACTCGGGGGTCCCAACATCGCCATGGAGACCTGGGGGTCGCCGCCCTACACCCCTGCTGCAGGGACCCTCCCAGAGGCACTCGGGGGTCCCAACATCGCCATGGAGACCTGGGGGTCGCCGCCCTACACCCCTGCTGCAGGGACCCTCCCAGAGGCACTCGGGGGTCCCAACATCGCCATGGAGACCTGGGGGTCGCCGCCCTACACCCCTGCTGCAGGGACCCCTCCAGAGGCACTCGGGGGTCCCAACATCGCCATGGAGACCTGGGGGTCGCCGCCCTACACCCCTGCTGCAGGGACCCCTCCAGAGGCACTCGGGGGTCCCAACATCGCCATGGAGACCTGGGGGTCGCCGCCCTACACCCCTGCTGCAGGGACCCCTCCAGAGGTTCTTGGGGTTTCCAACATCCAGACGGAGACGTGGGGGCCACCCCCCTACCTGCCCGCAGCGGGGACCTCCTCAGCGCTGAACAAGGCTGTCACCTCCGCTGCGTCACCCTGGCTGACCCCTCCCCACTCCGCAGGGGCCGGGGCCCCCCCGGATCTCCCCGGTGATGTCCTGGACACGGGACTGCTGCTGCCAGAGTTCGTGGGCACAGGGACAGTCACCCCGGTACGTGCTGCTGGGGGCTGGGGTGACTCAACGTGGGGCTGGCGAGGGGCAGGGATCAACACCCTCGGGGCGGCCTCAGAGTCCTCCTGGTGTGGGGCGGTGCAGGAGCTGGTCTTGGGGTAACAGCGGCCTTGTCTGGGGTAGGCAATGGAGAGGGGAGCCCTGCTCTGTGCAGGGGCTGCGGTGGGTCCCCCAGCCTGCCCCATCCTTCCTGGTGCTTCCCTCCCTCATGTGTGTGGGGATCCCATCAGCGGGGACAGAATGGAGTCCCTTGTCCAGTGGATGGGCTGTCGCTGCCACGGCCCCAGCCCTGCCTGCGGCTCTGCCTGGCGCTCACCCTGTCCCTGTCTCTCCCCAGGATGTCTCTGCAGAGGACCTGCTCTCACTGCTGGAGGCTCTGCTCCCAGCACAGCCCCGGCACTGACCCGGGTGAGTCCCTGGGCCTGGAGCACCCGCGGTGCCCGTCTGGAGCCCTGCAGCCTGGGGACGTGCGGCCCTCGGGGCAGCTGCAGGAACAAGCTGCCCGTGGGAGCCTGGAGCCGTGCTGGACGCGCCGGGCGCGGCTGGATGTGAATAAACCCTTGTGCCCTCTCTGAGTGTCCGTGTGGCTGTTCTGGAGCTGGGCACCGAATGGGGCTTGGCATGCCCAGGAGAGCCACGCCTGGCTCTGCTCGCTGGGCTGCAGGGCTGGGGGCTGAGGGGCAGCCACCTGAGGGGCAGCCAGCTGGGGGAGCAGCCCGGGGGAGTATCAAGAGGAACGCTCCCCTTGTCCTGGGGCCGGACCCCCGGCCAGGAAGGGCTGAGGATCCCCCAGGTCCAGCCTTCCCACCTGGCAGTTCTGGGGCTGTGGGAGCCCCCCATGCAGAGTGAGAGGGGCAGATTTGGGGTCCAGCTCGGTGTGGGGGTGGGCCTGAGCCCACGGGCTGGAGACCCGGCCAGGAGCCGGTGACGGGGACCCTCTGCCCCCACCCCCTTGGTGGCTCCCTGAAGTCTGGGGTCCCCATTAGCAGGAGGGTGCTGGGACCTGGCAGCCATGTGCTAATGTGCCAGGGGAGTATCCTCCCCGCTCTGGGGTCTGGGGTGAAGGGCGGGGGGTTAATGAACCCCATGGAGTGTGAAAGGACTCTCTAATGAGGTTAATATCCTCTGCTGGGGCCGAGGAGGGGCGTGACTGGAGGAGAAAAGCCTTTGAGATGTAAAGCAGCCCCCTGGCCTGCCCTCCCCTAGGCTGCAGCCTCTGCTCTCCAGCCAGGGCTGAAGGGACCTGGGCTCCAGCCATGGGGACACTGCCATGGGGATGAGCACAGTCCGGGGGAGCAGCTGGCAGCCACAGGGCTGGGAGGAGGGACCTGTGCGTCTCTGGGCCCCCCAAACGCTGCACCTCAATGCAAGGAGCCCTCATGTGCTCTGATTCCTGGCCCTGGCAGCAGCAGTGCCAGACCTGGGGGGCGCTGGCAGCACCCCCTGGGCTGAGGGGCTCCCTCCCACAGATGTGGGGCTCATCCCACTGTCCGTTCCCATGCGAGCACCACGCACGCTTACGTGTGTGTCCGTGTGCTGTGGGTGGCAGGGGAAGGACCGTGCTGTTCCGAGCTGCTGGCTACGTCAAGGACCATTCCGAGCTGCCAAGGGCGCCCACGCCACAGCAGCTGCAGCGGCAGCAGGTGCTGCCTCTCTGCAGTACCTGCCCCGGTACCCGCCCCGCTCCCCTCGTGCCCAGAGCAGATGCAGGAGCCCTCAGCACAGAGCCTGGGCACTGTGTGAGCACCAGCCCTGCCATGGCCTGGCTGGGGGATGCCAGGCAGGACTCCCTGGACGCAGGTGAGGCGGGGGGAATGGGGTGTCTGCTCCTGCAGGCTCGTTGTTGGGCTGGGTGGGGTCCCCGTCCCAGGCAGGATCATGAGGGGCACTCTGGGCAGGGAGGGGCACAGCAGTGATGGCCTGAGGTGGGGGCGTGTTGGGGCCAGCTGCCACTGTCTTCCTCTGCCCTGCTGGGTGCCAGGGACCCCGGTATCTCTGGGGGCACAGAGGGGCTTTGGGGGCTGCTGGAGGCTCGTGGGTAGAGCAGGATGCGGCGAGGCAAGGATGGAACACAGGGAAGTGAGCTCAGAGACGCGATGTGGGCACCGTGGCCCTGGGCAGGGGGCTCTGGGGGACAGGAGCACAGTGCTGAGCGTGGCCTGCCCCGCCCGGAGCCCCCTCGGGGCCGCCGCTGCCCCTCTGCCTGTCGTGGCAGGTAGGGGCCGTGCGGAGCCGGGCCCCGCGGCGGGGAACAGCAGCACGGAGCCCCCCGGCACGCCGGCCCCCGGCTGGGGCTGCGCCTGGAGCCCCCCCGAGCAGAGGGGCGAGGAGCCCCCGCGGCTGCCCACCTTCTCTGCGGCCGCCCAGGCGCGCGTGGCCGTCACCTTCGGCCTGTTCGCGCTCTCGGCCGCCTGCAACCTGGCGGTGCTGCGGGCGGTGGGCGGCCGGGGCGGCGGCCGGCGCCCGCACATCCGCCTGCTGCTGCGGCACCTGGCCGCCGCCGACCTGCTGCTCACCGTGCTGGTCATGCCGCTCGACGCCGTCTGGAACATCACGCTGCAGTGGCGGGCGGGCGACCTGGCCTGCCGCCTGCTCATGTACCTGCGCCTGCTGGCCATGTACGCCTCGGCCTTCGTCACCGTGGTCATCAGCCTGGACCGGCAGGCGGCCATCCTGCGCCCGCTGGCCATCGCCCGCGCCCGCGCCCGCAACCGCGCCATGCTGCAGGCGGCCTGGCTGCTCAGCGCGGGGCTGGCCGTGCCGCAGGTACCCGCCGGGCTCTCTGGTAACGCACCTGCCCGGCCCCGTGTGTGCTGGCACTGTCCGGGCCCGGTGCCGCCGTGTGACCCGCAGGGAGGGGACGGACGGCCCTGTGGGACGGGCACGCGGAGCTGGCAATGGAGCGGCTGTGGCGGTGCCCCCCTCGCCCAGCTCTGCCGCTGTGGGGGTGCCCCGGGCCCCTGTCAATGCAAGGGTGGTAACCGGTCATCCCCCCCGAGGCTGGGTCTGTCCCTGTGGATCGGGGGTCCCTGTTTCAGCCTCCAGTGCCCTCCCTGGCTCGGGAGGCACAAACCCCCATCACCCCCACCCCACCCCTCTCGTCTGCAGCTGTTCCTGTTCCGCACCATCACCCTGCAGCCCCCGCACAACTTCACGCAGTGCACCACGCGCGGCAGCTTCCCCCGGGCCTGGCACGAGACCCTCTACAACATGGTGGGCTTCGCCTGCCTCTTCCTGCTGCCCCTGCTCATCATGGTCTGCTGCTACGCCCGCATCCTGCTGGAGATCTCCCGCCGCATGGGCTCGGGCCTCTGTGAGTGCCGGCCCCCCCCCAGCCGCCCTGTCCCCGCTCCGCAGGGACCCCCGGCTCTCCCCCGGCGCAGGGCCCCGTCCCAGCCCCGTTTCCCCCCAGTCTCCTCGCGGGACGCGTCGCTGCGGTGCTCCAGGAACAACATCCCGCGGGCGCGGCTGCGCATGCTGCGGATGAGCCTGGTCATCGTCTCCTCCTTCATCCTCTGCTGGACCCCCTACTACCTGCTGGGGCTCTGGCACTGGTTCTGCCCCCGCGCCGTGGAGAAGAGGATCTCGCCGGCCCTCACCCACGTCCTCTTCATCTTTGGCCTCTTCAACGCGTGCCTGGACCCCATCACCTACGGGCTCTTCACCATCCCGCTCCGGGGGGGCTGGGGGTGCCCGTGCAGGCACGGCCCCCCGGCCCGGCCCCCCTCCCCACCCACGGGCTCCTTCCGCTGCTCAGCCTCCTCCCTGCCGCCCCAGCGGGCAGCCCAGGGGCTGGGCAGGCCCCGAGGGGCTGCCAGGGACCCCTCGTGCCACAGCAGCTCCCTGTGACACCAGCTGGGGGCCGCGGGGCAGGGGGGTCAGCACAGCTCCATGGGGATGGAGGCACTGCTGATCTCTCTCTCCCTGCACCCAAAGTGCCTCTGGGGGCTTGGGGCTGGTGGGGTGCCCCCGTCCCCTCTCCCTTCTCTGTGCCCCGAACAGCAATAAAGTGTCCTATGGCCACCTCTTGTCCCTGCCGGGTCCCCCCGCTGGGCGCTGAGCTGGTGTCCCCCCCCCTGGCCGTGGGGGTCACAGCTGGTCCAGGAGTCCCCAGGCCGGAGCAGATTCCGGGCCATGCCGGCCTGGCCAGGGCTGGGTGCTTCCCTCCCTGCTGATGCCCACAGTGGGCGCAGGGCTGGTCCCTGCCAGGGCTGGTGGCAGTGCCAGGGTGCTGCTGCTGCTGCGGGCTGTGCTCCAAACAGGAGCTGCTGGCTGCTGCCCAAGGCTGTTGGGAGGCACCGGGGGCAGCTCTCCCGCCCGCAGCACTGCCCAAGGCCGCGCTGCCGGCACAGCCAGCACGGGGGGGGCTGCTGGGCCAGGGCTGGGGCTGCCCGGGCCCCTCACCGTCCCCTGAGCATCACCAGAGCTGCCCTGGCATCCCCCAGCCCCAGGGAAGGGACCCCCGAGCTGGGCTCTGCCCGGGGCCCCCATGCTCCCCTGGCTCCTCAGTCCCCACTGCGCAGTGGGAACCCCATCCCAGCCCACTGACGCTGCAGCCTCACACAGGGCACACACAGGGCACACACAGGGCTCCTGCTCCTGCTGGGGGCCAGCAGGGTCCTCCTCGTGCCCTGTGCCAGGAGCGAGCTCAGCTGTGTGCGCAGGGGGCAAGGCAAGAGGGCTGGCAGAAGCTGTGCCCAAGAACGGCAGTGCCAGCCATGCTTGCAGGGATTTATTTGAAAGTGGCAAAGTCTAGTGGAGTTGCTTCAGCTCTGAAAAATGATCTCACACCTGCTTGAGGGCTGGAGGGCCAGCACACCAGTCACTCCAGGGGTCTTGTGGGGCTCCAGGGAATGAGGGGCTGCAGTCCCAGGCGTGTGGGGATCCCCTATGTTTCTGGGGCAGGGATGGGCTTCCTTGGCACGTGTGGGGGGAATGTGTGAGGGGGCTGACTCTCAGGCACGGACTGGTGTATGAAAATATCACCTGGTACAGGCACACCACCTGCTGCCAGCCTGAGAACGGCTGCGAGGGGAGGAGCTGGCAGAGCCAGAGCCACCCAGCAAACAGCCTTCCCTTGGATGCTGCTGGTGCTGTCCCGCTGCTGGGAGCACCCTGCCCGCCACAGGGCAGCTGGGGCGCAGACACAGACCCCCCCCAGCCCACGGGCAGCTCTGCTGGGGCTGGGGGCACTGGGGGGTGCCGGGGGGGCAGTGCTGCCCCTGCCCTCGGTGGCTGCACAGGGCTCAGGGGCAGCGCGTGGTCACGTCCCAATCACGTCCCAGTCACGTCCCATTCCCATCTCAATCACATCCCAGTCAGTCCCAGTCACATCCCAGTCCCATCCCAGTCACTCCCAGTAAAATCCCAGTCCCGTCCCAGTCCCGAGGGTGCCCCGGTGCTGTGCTGTGCTGGTCCCCCCTGCTCCCCAGTGCAGCCAGAGAACGGGGACAGGCTGGCCAGGCGAGGGGACAGGGTCGGCCAGACGATGGCAAACGGGAGGTGATGCTGGGGACGCCTGTCCTTGGGCGGCTGTGTCACCAGCTCAGCAGTGTCACCCCCCGTCCCACCCCGGCCTGTCCCGGCACAGATCAGAGGCGCAGTGTCCGTCCCGCTGCCCGCTGCACTCGGGCACAGCCAGCAGCTCTAGGTGCCAGCTCCGCCGCCGCTGGGTCTCTTCTCGGTGAAGAAGCTCTTGAGCAGCACCACCTGCCCGATGCTGACCACGAAGAGGATGAGGGTTTCCCCCACTGACCAGTATGAGACGCGGCCATTGAGCTCCTCGGCTCGGCTCCTGTCCTGCGCCTCCCGCAGCCGGTAGTGGGTCTGGGAGTCGATCACCGCCTTCAGCATCTCGTGGATGGTGACACAGGCAGACTCCAGCTGGGGACGAGGACGGGAGCGCCCTGTCACTCCTGACACGGCTCAGCTGAGGGGGCCCAGGGCCGTGCCGGGACGCTCAAGAGCAGTGTTTGTGCGGTAGGCTCCTGCCAGAGCCCGTGCAGGGTGGTTCCCCACTGGGACAGAGTACCCACGAGGGCACGCAGATGCCCAGCCCAGAGCGCACACCCAGGGATGGAATGGCTGATGCAATTCCCTCACGTGGGATGGACACGGCTGCTGCAGGGAGGGGAGCCCAGAGCCCGCACAGCCCCCCTGAGCCAGGCAGGGCAGAGGATGTGGTGTGCGGTGGGGCTGTTGGCCGGCGGTTGGCACTTCTGCATCCAGTGCAGGAGGAAGGGGACACGCGTCCAACTGCCATCCCGCAAGGCTGCTGGGGCTGCAGCAGGACCTGCCCCCCTCCCTGCCTCCCTCCTGGGACCCACCTGTGTCAGGGCGGTGACGCGGTTGTTCATGTCGGGCAGGATGGGCGGCTCGTCGCCCACCTGGAAGTCGAAGTAGACGATTTTGTGGGAGAAGGTGGAGAACTCGTTGCTGAAGCAGAAGGTGTAGACACCCTTGGCCTCGGTGTGGTGCGAGAAGCTGTCGTACTGCTTCTTGGTCTCCTGGTAGATGGTCTTGCCGTTGGGGTCCTCCACGTAGCAGTCCACATCATAGTGCCCTCCGCTGATCACCTGTGCGGGAGATGCATCTCCGATGGTGGCACACGCCCAGCGACGTGGCGCGGGCCCTCTGCCCCTGCCCAGCCCCACGGCTCTGTGAGAGGCCAGCGGGCACCATGCCCATGGGATGGGGCCCAGCCAGGGGAGCCCTGGGGAAGTTGTGCACCACGGTGCCAGCAACTCAGCTGGGGTGCCCATGGCTCAAGCGGGGTGCCTGGAGACAGAGACAGCCCTCATGAGCCAGGTCAGGGAGGTCAGGGGCGTCCACGGCTGATGTGGGCACATCCCAGGCCTGGCTCTCAGGTGGGCACTGCTGGGCACGGAGCTGGGGCTGGGAACAACTCCTAGCGCAGCATGGAGGGAGCTGGGGTGGAACTGCAGCCCTGCCTGGGGCTCTGCAGGGCACAGGATGGGAGAGTGTGGGAGAGGCACGGGCAGAGACGACAGCGCACACACGGCAGGGCTGTGGGCAAGGGGGCACCGGGGCACGGGCAGGCACACGGGCACAGGGATGGGGCACAAACGGGGCGGAGGGGCCCGGGCAGGGGGTGCAGGCACGGAGCATGCAGGGCTGCAGGAAGGCACAGGCAGGGTAGTACCTGATAGTCGAGGGTGAACTTGACGCCGCTCTCCAGCTCCTGGTGGAAGCAGCGCTGGGCGCTGTCGGGCAGCTCCAGCGTCAGCTCCGTGCCGCCGGCCCGCAGCGCGCCCAGCAGCGCGGCCAGGCACAGCGTCCGCACCGCGCCCGGCATCGCCACCGCACCGAGCCCGGCACCCGCAACCCGGCACCTGCACCCGCAACCCGGCACCGGCACCCGCACCGAGCCCGGCACCCGCAACCCGGCACCGCCACCGCCCCCGGCACCGGCCCCGCACCGCCCCCCTGACGTGGCGCTTCCGCTGCGAGCGGAACGGAGCGGGGCGGAACGGGGCGGGGCGGGGCGGGGCGGAACGGGGCGGGGCGGGGCTGGGCGGCACCTCCGGTCCCGGGGCGGGCACCCGCGGGGAGCCCGGGAACGTTCACCGGCCCTGGCACCCCCCGGCATGTCGGGGCCGGGCATTCCGGGGGCCCCGGCGGTCCCCGCGGCGCTCCCGGGCCCCGCGCGGGCGGCCGGTGCCGGCTCCACGCGAGAGCAGCCTCGGTCCAAAGCTGAGCGCTTTATTAATGCAGTGCAAAACCAGCGCACGAGTGTCCGCAGGGCCGCGGCGTCGCCCCAACCCCTGCCCTGCCCCCTGCGCGCACGCAGCCCGTGGATAACCGCGGTCGTGGAGCGATGGAGGCTGCGGGAGCCGCGGCTCACGGCCGGCACAGCGCGCGTGGGGAGCGGCGTGGGGCGGGGGTCCCGCGGGGTCTCGGCTCTGGCGCCGTGCCTGCGGCTGTCCCGGCGGGATGAAGCGCCGGGCTCGGCCCGTGTCACCCTCGGTGGGTTGGCATCCCGGCTCCCCGCCGCTGGCAGAGGCTCCCGTGCAGCCGGGCCGGCACCATCCCGCTCGGGGGGATATCCAGCGCTTCCTGGATTCAGAGCTCCTCGGCGTGGCGGGGAATGAACCCCTGAGGTTCGGACGCTTCAGAGACGGGACAAGCCCGTCCCGGCCCGCGGCCCACGGGGCTGCAGCGGTGCCGGGCGTGCCGAGCCGCTGGAGCTCCGGGAACAGCGGAGGTGGAGCACTGTCTCCCTCTCCCGCTCCGGGAGAGCACCGACACGGTCCGTGGCCGCACCGGGGTTCCGCCCCTCGAGTCCCCGCGTACTGAGCCCCTTCCCGACTCCTGGAAGGCACTTCACGAACGCCTCGCCCCAGAGATCACCGCCGGGGGCTCCGGGCCGGGATTCGGTGAGAGAACGAGCAGAATGTAAGAAAAGCAGATCGCAACTAGTGAGGAATAAGTGAACTGCAGGTGGGATCCTTGGCACGGAACTTGCCGATCTAGGACGGTGCGGGATCGATCTCCCGATCGGCCCGCGCCCGATTCAGCCCCCGGGCTCAGGGCTGAGCCCCCTGGCCACCAAAGTGTCCCCGGAGCCAGTGCCCACTCTGTGGGACCCGTCCCGTCTCTGCGGGGACAGCGCGGCCCCGGCCACCTCCCTGTGAGCAAACGGGGCACGGCTACTGCGCCACGACCTCCTCAAAATCCGAGAGGTGCCGCATCTGCTCTGCCTGCATGGAATGTCTGCGGAGGAGCTTCCTGTGCGCCCTCAGATCGCCCCGCCTGGGCGAGCCGGGCGTGAGGGGCACCAGCGGCTTCAGCGCGGCGGCCAGCGGGGAGGGGGCTTTGCCGGAGCCGATGTCAGGGATCGGGGGGTTGGGGTTCACGTTCAGGGGGGGCAGGTATCCCGGCCTGGCGTGCGAGATGTGGTCCAGCAGCAGGGTCCCGGACCCTCGCCGCTCCAGCAGGCCGGGCGGCCGGCGGCGGCCGGCGCTGGGCGATGCGCCGGTGCTGCCGCAGGGCGAGTCCCCGCCGCCGTCCGGCAGGGTCAGCTGCGACCCGCTCGGCCTGCGCCTCTCGGACGGCGCCTTCCCCGCCTCGCCGACCGCCGGCTCCCCGTTGCGTTCGGTGCCCGGCCTCCGCCAGAGGGGAGCGTCCGTCCCTGCGGCGGAGCTGGCGGCCGAGCCGGTGCTCTCCGGCTCCTCCGGGAGCGTGGCGCTCCGCGACAGGCACGGGTGCGCGCCCGGGCTCTTCTCGTGGGCGGCTTTCCGTGCCAGCGGCCCCGGTGCCTGCTCATCCACCGGAGGGAACAGGGAGGGGTCCCTTCCCTTGCTGCTGCTGCTGCTGCGGGCGAGGGAGGGCTTCTTGGAGAGCGAGAGGTCGCCGATGCCCGCGATGAGCTCGCTGTCGGCGCAGAGCCGCGCGTCGTCGTGGTGACCGGCGGCCGCCAGCACCGAGGGTGCCACCAGACCCCAGGGCTCCGAGCGCAGCCGCTTCAGCCGGGGCAGCTGGGCTCTGCGGGCAGCGCCGGCTCGCTGGCCCGGGGAGGGGGGCTCAGGGTGCCCGGGGTGAGAAGGGTGCGGGGTGGGAGCGCTGCTCTCCTTGTCGGCAGGGGAAGGCGCTGAGACGGGACTTTTCAGGTGGGCACTGGAGGGGGCTGCGCTCTCCTCGAGGGGCGCCTTCTCCTTGAACTCCAGCGCTGGCGCAACGTTCAGGTACTGCTTGGCGGTCTTGGTGCCGGAGGCCGATGTGTCCATGGTGATGATGATCACCTCCTTCCCCTTGGCTCTGCAGGCATTCAGGAGGTGCTGCAGCACTGCCTTGTCCTCGGCGTTGATGGCGTGGACCAGCGCCGAGGCTCCCGAGTGGTCCTCGAGGCTGGGGTCCGCCCCGCTGTCCAGCAGCAGGGACACCACGTCCCCCCCGGCCCCGCGGATGCAGGCGTGCATCAGCGCCGTCTTGCCAGACTTGTCCTGGATGTTGGGGTCGGCTCTGTTGTCCAGCAGGTACTTGACCATCTTGGCCTTGTGGCTGCTCTGCTGGTCCACGTGCGTGGTGATGCAGGCCACCATGAGCGCGGTCTCGCCCTTGTCGTTGCTCTCGTTGATGTAGGCGCCGCCCTCGAGCAGCAGCCGGGTCAGGCGCAGCCGGCCCAGCCACACGGCCTTGAGCAGGGAGTGGCCCCCCAGCTCCAGCTCCGTCCCTTCATCCATGGCTGCTGCTGCCGCTTCCCCCGGGCGATGGCAGTGCTGCTGTGGGGAACCGCGGGGAAGAGGTGAGCCCCACTGCCCTGTCCCTGCCGTCCTGGCATGCCCAGCGCTGGGCACTGCCCCACACCCCGCTGTCCCTGTGGCCGTGTCCCCCACCTGGTGCAGCAGCTGCCCGGATGGGTGCCTGGGTTCCCCAGGAGATCAGGGAGCTCCTGACGGTCTCCACCGGCCCGCTGCGTCTGGGGGGCCCCAGCACGGAGCCCACTGGAGACTGTGTGAACTTCCCTGATGGCTTCCTGGGCAGGAGCCGGGATCTCTGCCTCCTCACTGCCGGAGGGGAGCAGAAGCAGCCACAGCCATGCTGTCTGTTGCGTTTCTACCGCCCCCTGCTTCTGCCGCCCCTCTGACCCCGCTGCCACCGCTCCTGCTGCCCCCGCTCCCTGCCTCGCTCCTCGGAGTGCTCCTGGAGCCCGGAGCAGCCAGCCTGGAGAGGGCACAAGCCTCCCGGCCCTTCCCCATCCATCCCTCCGAGCCCTCCATGGGGATCCCGCGGCCCCCGGACCCGCGGTCAGCGCCCGCTTTGCTCCCAGCCCCTCCCAAAAGCGCCCACGGTGCCGCTCCCTGCCCGTGAGCTGCCCACGGCCCCTTCCCGTGGGGACCCCTCGGACCCGGGGAGACCCGGGCGGCGGCTCTGCCCCGCTCCGGCCGGGACCGGCGTCCCCCGCGCCCCTCCGAGCCCCGGCCATCCCTCTGCCGCCGCCGGCCCCGGCCGCGGTGGGGATGGTGGGGTGCGCACCCCGCCCGGTACCTGCCGCCGGTGCCCGTGCCGGTGTCCGGTGCCGCTCTCCGCCGTTGGTGCCGCTGCCCCGTGCGCTGCGCCGGTGCCGGTATCGGTGCCGGGTGCTCCGTGCGCTGTGCCGGTGCCGATCGTTGGTGCCGGTGCCTGTGCCGGTGCCGGTGCCGGTGCCGATCGTTGGTGCCGGTGCCGGTGGCAGTGCCGGTGCCGATCGTTGGTGCCGGTGCCGGTGCCGATCGTTGGTGCCGGTGCTGGTGCCGATCGTTGGTGCCGGTGCCGGTGCCGATCGTTGGTGCCGGTGCCCGGCGCTGCGCGAGGAGGAGGGCGCGGGGGGCGGCGCGTCCGCCCGCAGGTGGGTGCGGGGAGCGGCGGGCGGGGGTGTCGGTGTGCGGGGGGCTGTAGGGTCTGTATCTGTGTGCGGGGGGCTGTAGGGTCTGTGTGCGTGTGCGGGGGGCTGCGGGGGTCTGTAGGGTCTGTATCTCTGTGCGGGGGCTGTAGGGTCCCTGTCCGTGTGCGGGAGCTGCAGGGTCCCTGCCCGTCTGCACCCACCCGTGCGGGGTCTCCGTCCGTGTCCCTGCTCCCGGGGCTCCCCAGACCCGAGCGGCCCCGAGCCCGCGGCTGTCCCCGCTCGGGCAGGGCAATCACGGCCCCCGAGCCCCTCTGATGCTGATGGGTGCGCGGTGCGAGCGCACCCTGGGGCAGCCCGAGCGCACCCTGGGGCACAGGAGCGCACCCTGGGGCAGCCCGAGCGCACCCTGGGGCAGCCCGAGCGCGCCCTGGGGCACAGGAGCGCACCCTGGGGCACAGGCGCGCTCCGTGCCGTGCCGGGCCAGCTGGGCTCCGTTGTGCTGCCCTCGGTGCCACCCCTGGGCGCTGTGCCGCCTCTCTGGCCCTCCTTCGCCCCCAGGCCCCGCAGCCGGGCAGGAGCCCGCCCCCATCAGCTTCCTCCGCCTCCCTCGGTGCCCCGTTCGGAGCAGTCCCGGCACAAAGGGAGTTCGGA